ATGGCACATTTCCTCTGCGCGAAATCACGCGATCACCGAAGAAGGACTGCAATCGATGGATATTGACGTTGGTTGTGTAGAATGTTGCACCGTCTTGTTCGAAATAAACATCGTCCATATCCATTCCTTCAAGTTGCGGCAAAAAATAGTCCTCTATCATCACGTGATATCGCTCAGAATGGACGGTAACGGCGTCCCCGGCCGCATTTTCGAAAAAGTAACGTCCGATGATGCCTTTTGACCACAATGCACACCACACAGTCACTTTTTGAGGATGCATCGGCTGCTCTTGATACTCTCGGGGATTTTCGTTCGCCCAGATGCGGCAGTTTTGCTTGTTTACCGCCCCATTCATGATTTTTGATGGAAAATTGGCATCAATTTGGCGGTGTTCAAGGAGCCAATCTGAGAACGTTCGGCGCGAAAAATGCTCGGCCCGACGCAGCTCTTGCGTCAGTTGGATCTTGTAGGCGTGTACATCCAAATCCTTGTGGAGAATGCGGAGCAAACTGGTTCTCGAAATGTCCAATTCTTGGGATCGACGCGTTGTTGATTGTTTCGGATCGTCTCTCACACTCTCCTTCACAACAGCAATATTTTCCGGTGTGCGAACGCTCCTTGGCCGGCCAGAGCCTGGCAGATTTGCCACAGAACCTGTTGCCTCGAATTTACACACCAGACGACCGATGGTTGTTTCGTTTGGGCGGTTGTTGCGACCGAAATGTTCACGAAGCGCGCGAAACGTGTTTTTTATTTTTGCACCATTTTTGTAGTGCTCTTGAATAACTTTAATGCGGTCTTCAATCGAATACGACTCCATAGCGATCAATGATAAACATTCAACTAACAAAATGACATGTCGGTGACAGAAAACAAAGATGGCGTCTATGGCAAATTGACGTTTACTTTCCTGCGTCCCTATTGGACAACCCTTTATATTATATGATAACCGTGATTCACAAAACGCTTCTTTTTCATAACAAAATGATCAGAACATAAATTTCAATCTGTTTATTTTACGGAACAAAATTTGGTAAACGGCAAAGCTTTGAATTTACAGTCGACGAAGAAGGAATTTAATACGATCAAATAATTTGTAATTATAAGGTCTTATTAATTAAAATACAAATAACGCATATGAATTGAAAAAACAAGACCGTAACTTTAATTAACTAGACCTGTGGAAAAATGGCTGATCGCGTCTTAATTGAGTCAGCATCTCCCACGGTTACGTCTCTCCGTGCCGGGAGTATGTGTCCCGATTACTTCTGTTTCAAGTACGTCTCCTGCATTGCTTTGGACTTACAGCCGATAAAGAGGGAATTAACTATAATACAAACATATCTAATCATAAAATCTCACCGACTAAAGTGCAAAAACTAATTGATAAATCGAACTAAACAATGAAAAATAAATTATAGTCTAAAAAACTAAAAAAAAGGCTTTTATACCTAACCGAAGTAAAAGGTAAAAAATATTTTTAAATTCAAAGAGTTTATATTACAGCAGTAGATGGTCAAACAATCAAGCATAATTAATTATCTCAAAATAGTTTAATTGTTATATTAAAAACGCTTTTTACTGTGAATTGAATTATTCTGTTAATAACTTTTAAATTTTATTATACATAATTTTATTTTGAGGTCATTAATTATGATTGATTTTTCGACCATCTACTACTGTAATATAAACTCTTTGTAATTAAAAATTATTTTACATTTTTTAGTTAGATTTGTAAATTAGTTTTTCGTGGACATGTGGTATTGAACCCGAACCAACAAAGAGTACGTGCGCATAAGTAAGTAGCATATACGCTTTTTACAGAATTTTACTTACGAATAAGGATAATGGAAAACAGTTATCAAATTATTGCATTGTCATCGGTTCTTGTTACGTGTGCGAAGTTTCAAATTAATCAAACTTCTGGAGATTGTTGAAAATTATGCTCAAAGATTCCGTTACACACATACATACATACGAGGGCGGTTCAATAAGTACCCGTGTTAGAACTGAAGACACCATTTTTTCCAAAAAAAATTCTTTTTATTTTTCAACATAATCCCCTTTCAGAACGATACACTTTTCCCAACGTTCCTACCGTTTTTTTAACCCCCCCCCCCCCTTCCAAAAATAGGATTTGTCGAACTCTCCAAAATACGCCTCTGTCTCGGCGATGACTTCGTCGTTTGAACTAAATTTTTCCCCGCGAGCCATTTCTTCATGTCAGGGAACAAGAAAAATTCGCAGGGGGCCAGATCGTGTGAATACGTGGGTGCGGCAGCACTTCACAACGTAATTCATGCAATTTGGCGGCGACAACTCCGGATGAATGTACTGCTGCGTTACCGTGGAGAAACAGCACCTTCTTTTTCATCAAATGTGACCATGTCTCCTTCAATTTTATGTTGAAGCGGTCCTTTTTCTAAAAAATCCACGAGGATGACGCCGTTCGCATCCCAAAAAATTGTCATGACCTTTCGGGCCGATGGGACCTTCTTTGGAGCAGATTCACCGGGGGAAATCCATTGTTTTGATTGTTGCTTAGTTTCTAGTATGTAATGATGAATCCAGGTTTCATCGACAGTGACAACTCGACGCACAAACTCCTTCGGATTTCGCTTAAATTGCTCCAAACACTGCTTCGAAGTTAACAGCCGTATCCGCTTGTTGTCCACCGTGAGCAATCGCGGCACCCATCGGGCCAACAATTTTTTCATAGCCAACTTATTATGTAAAATATTGATTGCCATTACGGTCGACACATCTACTGCCTTTTCTACTTCGCGCACTTTCGTTCGTCGATCAGCCAGAATCATGTCATCAAAAACGGATGTTCGCGCACGTTTAAATTCATTGAACCAATATCTAACTGTGGTCCATAGATGGCGAATTGCCCCCATAAACAGCATCCAACTTTGCTTTTATCTCCTCGCATTTTTTCCCATCCAAAAACAAAAAGCGAATTACCGAACGATACTGCATCTTTTTCCATCTTAGCGAAAGTCTCTAAACACGTGTTACACGAATGGCTGCCAAATCCAAACTAACCTACCAATCAGTCTGAAATTTGTTGTACCGTCGTTTGATAGATGGCAGCACATTAGCTTCTATCAGGAACGCCCTCTGTCGTCAAACACGGGTACTTATTGAACCGCCCTCGTACATACAGGCCAAGCTAATAAAAGCTTGTTAAAAAAATGTTTTCTCTGAGGTGTCTAAACCAGACGATCGCAACTGCAGTCGCGTATTACATCATTATAATGATTAGATTCAGGTCAATTTCGCATTGTTATAACGTCTCGTCGAAACTTTTCTGTAACGCAGCAAATCGAGATATATCCTTAAGACATATTTAACAATTATTATTGACCGTTAATCTTCCAACGTACTTTCACCGATGCTAAAATCGTGGTCTAGTATTTACAGCCGCGTACCCTATACTCCTCTGCAAAATTGATGAGGTCGCGAAACATTCTCGACCTGTATACTAGGTATTTACAAAACATTGGGTTTTGGTGGAAAATTATTTGTTGAGGTTAAAAATTGGATGTTAGGGGTTGCGGGGGGTGGGTGAGGATATATCTCAACTTTTTGACGTTGGTGTATTTACGAGGTTTGTTCAAAAAGTACCGCAAATTTTGAATTTTATAAATTTATATATATCTCGAGCTTTCGGCACGCTATGGTGCCATCATCAGGAGTCGTCGCTGAGGTTGCAGTCAACTGGTGTTTCAAAACGAAAACCTGGATGAGCGCACTGGTTGCAAATGTAAAACCATGTGTCCATGCTTTTCGTTGACAATATCGGCCATTTTGAAAGTTCAGTCAGTTTTTGACAGCTATTGTGCGTGGACGTGTTTTAGCTTGTCTCCTATTTTTGTCTATTCCAAAAAATGGATCAAATAATTTGTATTAAATTTTGTCTAAGAAACAACTTGAAGTGCGCGGACATATTCCAAATGTTAACTGTTGCATACGGCGAAGCTACTTTGGACAAGTCAATAAGGAATATGACCTTCAAGTAATGCGCAATTTGCGAGAAGCAATCCGCCAGAAACGCCCGGATTTGTGGAAGAACAAAAATTGGCTTTTGCGCGAATTTTTGGCCAAAAACAACACTTTAATAATGCCTCACCCACCGTATTCCCCAGACCTGGCCCCCTGTGACTTTTTCTTGTTCCCGAAACAGAAGAAGCCCATGATAGGACAACGCTACGCCACGATTGAGGAGATAAAAACGGCATCGAAGGAGGAGCTGAACAATATCACAAAAAATGATTTTGCAAAATGCTTCGAGGATTGGAAAAAACGTTGTCACAAGTGTATAATGTCTGATGGGGATTACTTTGAAGGGGACAAAGTATATATTCATGAATAAATAATTCTTGAAAAAACATGAAATTCGCGATACTTTTTGAACAAACCTCGTATACGCCTCCAACCCCAGTAATTCTAACCACATATTAGGCATGTTTCGGATGTCGATACGGGCGACGTCGTCATCCGATGGACAAGCGACGTCGTCGGTGGTGGTACGTACTATTGGTCATCGCAACGATCATGTGTATGCAACGATTTCTCTCGGGGGGAGGAGGAAGGTCATTTATTTTCTTGTAATACATATTCGTGGCTAACTTTCTTCTCAGAAGGGTTAACGTGTGCCAAACATAATCATTTACGAACAGAGATGACAGCCAACTTACTTGGCGCCATTTTTTTCTTTTATAGTTGCATTCATGTTTCCAAATGTTTGACGTTATCGTTAGATGCAAGACAAGAAGCTGTTTCTGCTGTTTTTGCCTGTCTTACCATAATTGGTTCTTTAACCCCTAAGGATGTTTTGTTTTTTGAAATATCTTTACAATATAAAAATCATTAGCCTTGTTAATTTAGGCATATGGATATACTATTTTCTCGATACCGAATAATTTTGTAGTAGAGTGTATATCGACAAGATCGTTGCGAGAGCTTTGGTTTTTATCTCCCCATATTCTCAACAGGTATCAAAGGTGAAGGTTCAAGAATGCACCGTGTACAGAAATTGCTTGGAATGCCTGGGAGTGAAAGATCCGTACTGTGGATGGTGCTCATTAGAAAACAAGTAAGTGGATTAATAATGTCGACCAAATCAGTACACTGTACCAGATGTTTCAAGTTTTGGTTTTACCATCAGGATCTTGGGAACAAAACTGATATACAGGGTGTTGTTCATTTGAAAACCACTGATTAAAAGAAAAAACGCCGAGTCGCGTCAAAAGATTTGCCAAAGGGGACAAGTTTCTAACCAAAAACTACTTCACCTCCTTTCACCCTCGACTTCACCAAGGATATCTGTGTTCATCAAAAGAATGCGGAAAAAATTCGGGTTGTTATTTGGTTGTTTCCACGACTAATTTTCCGAATTGATGTTTGGTAGTTTCCGTTTTAAATCATAAACGAATTGTAAATTTGCCAAACCCTAACGGGCAACATTTTGAACACTCATTGAAATAACAAACGATATTTTCGTGTCTTTTTGTTTTCTATCAGAACAAATTAAGATATTTAAAGATTTTTATAATTTTCTTGAAACGAATCGCCCAATTTTTAAAAATCAAACGTCAAAATAAAGGACTTCGAAACAATCTATTACTCGATACCCCTTGTCATTTAAAATTTTTAAGGGGATGGCCCTGGGGGGGGAGAGGGTTAAAAAGTTGTCCCCTTTGACAAATCGTTTGACGTGTCTCTGCGATTTTTTTCTTTTAATCAATGATTTCCGATAAATCCGTGGTGGGAAGTTTTCAAGTGAACACCCTGTATAGATTTGGTTGAATTAACAAGGAAAATAGGAAGTCGACATTTTTATTTTGTATTTCGTGGAAACTTATAATCATTTTTGCGGGTTATAGCAAGCAACGAGCATTCTCAAAAAGAGCTCTGATTATCCTTAATTCCAAAACAAAAATTGCTAGGTTTGTACAGAATGATACAAAATATATCTCTTCACAGATGTAGTCTCAGGTCTGACTGCCAAGATGCGGCAAAAGATCCATTGTACTGGATCAGCTACAAGAGTGGACGGTGCACAACTATTACATCTGTGACTCCCCATCAATTGCAAAGGACCACTGCAAGAACGGTAAGGAGTTTTTTACTTTTACTATTCTCATTTTCCTCAATTTGTATGAATTTTGAAAAAATCACCCGCAATATAATTGTTCCCTGGGTGAATGACACACACAATCAAAGAGTAATATCCTAGCTGATCAAACAAACAAATAAAAAACTTCTAACCAGAGTATATGCTGCACTGGAACCATGGAAATTATGTTACAATAGCACAGTAACTTGAAATGAGTTAATATAGACTATATTAATTATTTGTACATTTCATTTTGAAATATGATATGACTTTGATAAAACGAATTTCCCAATTGGCGCTCTGAAAATTTATTGAAAACGTTGGATAATAGCTTTTATAGACTTGATGAAATTTCATTTGGAAACTACTATCATTGAATTTAGATTCTCAGTACAGATTTTTATGTTCACGTTCACATGTGCACTCAATTTGCATGTATATATATTTTTATTAACAATTACTCATATAAATTTCTAGTATCAGTATCTTTTATAAATGCATATCCAAATAAAATTCAAAACTTGGGTCATAAATTTCTCGCATGAAGTGCTGCATAGACGCTACCTTTCATTTTGGGACTATATAATTTCGATAAACTGTACTGTCGAACTTGTAGGTAAAGTGTAAAAATCCAGGTCTGAGAAAATTCAGTTAAAAATTCTGGATTTTCCGAACGGAATAAATAATATTTAGTATTATTACGACACAACCAAAGTTAATGAAGATTGCAAAGTTAAATGATCTAAAAAACAGGTCTTTAATTGTCGTAAATCAGAAAGGCGTAATATGTGATTCAATGCTTTTTTACTCTGCAAAAACAAAGTTACTGCCTTTTTCGTAGTTTTTATAATCTATTTATATCAAAGGAAAAACGCAGTACTGCTGAACTTTATTTTAATATAATCTATTCATATCGAAATTCACATAAATAGCACAAAAGATAATCTTTAATAATCTAATAATCAACTAAATAATTATATATTACAATTGGAAATTACATTCAACAAAAATAATTATATAAATAAACTAAAAAGCGTGTTAAGTTAAAAAAAAAATCAAAATTACTCTCCCGGAGCAGATGTTATAACTTAAAACACAAGAAATAGAATTATTGAATGGACATTTAAATAAGTAAATATCATAATAGGTTAATAGTTAAAAACTTGTTTCATAGAGAGAATAAAAGCAGTGTCGTTAGAAAAAAACTGTTTTTTTTTTTACTTTGAAAAATTGGTTTACGCCTTTATGCTTAGGAAATGTAATTAATATGAAATATTTAAAAAAGTGAAAAAACAACTATTTTTGCTAAATAACGTGATCAATGATATGTGTTGTAATTGTAATCATAAAAGAAATTTGTTGGCGTCAAAATTCAAAAAAGGCAGTAAATAAACTTTACTGCCTTTTACCTAGGTACGGCAGTGTAAATGTATTCATAACATGAATGATTATATACATATAGAAGGCAAAACACTATACCTGTACATGTCACTTTTCACAACCCAAATGAAGTCACCGTTCTTGGAATAATTATAATGTTGCACCATTTTATTTTATTTTATTATATTTTATTATGTTCTGTTTTATGTTATACAGGGTGGCGCATCGAAAACGAAACAGACGCATTTACTGGCAGCTCAGTTTTTTTTTTTTGAAAAACTATCAGACCCGTCGATTTTGTTTTCGAGGGGGACACAAGTTTGGTAAAAAATCACGTTAACACGTACAGCTCCCTGGGCGGGGATGACACCAACCCTAAAATCTTAAATTAAAGGGGGGTCGAGTGATACCTTATTTTAAAGGTCTTTCAATTCCCTTTATAATGATGTAAAATACATGAGCGTCAGTTCAGCAGTTTTGAAGATTTATTGATTTGAAGCTTAAAGTAGACTTTAATAGGTACATCAGATTAGTTTGTACTACTTTCAGAAGAAATTTGACTAAAAGAATTTACTTAATATGTAAATGTTTTTCTTCACTACGCCCATGGTTTGTTTATCATTTTGTTGTTAAAAATAGCTATTGGAGCGTTTTTTGTGGCAAAAAAGTTATTTCTTGAAGAAAGATAAGGAAATATCTCGTACTTACTTTAAATAGGAATTTAGTACATAGTTTGCGATTGATTTGATCAAACTTTCTTGCTAAAATAACTTGTAACGCTTTATTATATAAATTAACCATGGTATATTCCACAGCAGAAAGACTTGAAATTATCGAAATATTTTTCGGAAATAATCAGTGCGCTAATAGAACAGCTGAAATATTTAATGAGCGACATGAGAACAGTAACGTGCATCGAAAATATGTTCTAGAACTTGTAGCTAAATTTCGGGAAACTGGGTCAGTCGCCAATAAAAAACGCAACATTGAAAATCATTAGGGCAAGTTTATGTAGATCTTACGTTGAGTACCCGCAAATTGGAGACTGTGTGTGGTGTAAGTCGACGTACTGTTCAACTGTTTGGGCTGGTATTTTTGGCGATCATTTAGTTGGTCCTTTTTTCTTACCTGGAAATTTGACCGGTGAAATGTATTTGGAATTACTGGAAGACGCCATAGATCCTGCATTAACAGCCATAATTGAAAATCAGAGTGATCGGCCGTACATTGCGAATAGGTTGATGTTCCAACAGGATGGTGCCCCACCACATTACGCATTACGTGTTCGACACTATTTAGATCACACGTTTCCAGATCGATGGAAGAAGAGGTGCCATTGAATGGCCCTAAATATCGCCAGATTCATCACCTTTGGATTTCTTGATGTGGGGTCATTACAAAGCAAAATCTATGCTACTCAGCCAACATCATTAGAAGACATGCGATAAAGAATTGTGAATGAGTGCCTTCAAATGACTCGTCAAATATTGCAAAATGTGCGGCAACGTTTTGAGCAAAATCTCTATTATTGCATGGAGAGTCATGGTGGCCATTTTCAATATTTACTTGCCTAATGGGTCAGTTCATTCTTCATTTTTAAATTACTTTGCTGCCAAATGTATTGATCTCCACTAATGATGATGTATTAGTTTTATTTAAGCTTTAAGTCCATAAATCTTCAAAACTACTGAACTACATTAATTTTATATCATTATAAAGGGAATTGAAGGACCTTTAAAATAAGATATCACTCGACCCCCCTTTCCATTGAAGATTGTCTCCCTGGAAAAAAAATCGACGGGTCTGAGCGTTTAAAAAAAAACTGAGCTGCCAGTAAATGCGTCTGTTTCGTTTTCGATGCGCCACCCTGTATATTTATACCGTATCTCATGCATGATGGACGCTTCAATTTTATTCTATTATATGTTTGATATATCCTTGTCTTTATTGCTCACAACAAAAATGCAACTACCAGTTTTGTAATGTCATTTTAGTGTTATTGCCCTTTACCATACATGAACTCTTTTAACGTAATAATTTAGTTTTTTGATATATGTTAAAGTGTTAAAGTGCCACAGTGTCAATTCAAAGTTTTATCGTTTCTGTCAGTGATCCTGTAACACCAAAGTATGTCAGTGCGTGCGCTAGAATAGAAGCACATAGTGCATTGGCAAATACTTGATTGACTTTATTTATAACTGCGGATATACAATTGACAATAATGGGAAAAGAGTTTTCTTTCTTGGCATTACTTTTATTTGTCATTGATACTCCTTGGTGGCAACAATCTTAGACATTCATATTTTTATAATTATATTTGGCAAAAAAATATTATAATTATTATTATAATCGTTATCGTCATCGTTATCATTATAATTATTATTATTTTCAGTTGGATCTGGTGATTGACAACCTACCAACATTACCAGGAAGGTTTCTTTGTGCTTTCACTGCACTGGACAAGACCTTGATCACAAACGCTACAAGGAAAGGATCAGGAGTTAACTGTACCACACCAAGAACTGATGCGTTGCCTTCTATACCTGCTGGCCAACGTAAGTATTCATATTTAAGTATAGTACGTTAACTGACTCGACGCGCTTATCTCAAAGTTATCAAACATTATCAAGAAGTAGCTTCAGTCACGTAATGATTTTGAATCGTAGATATAAAATGACAGGGCTATAAGCTATATCTGGTACCATGAATGATGCCATCAGGTGAATCCTCGAGCATATGCAAGAGAACGAGCGACATATAATTATATTTAGATTTGGAACTCTGAATGGCTAGAGTTATGAGTATATGTCTTAAAATAGAGTAACCTTAGACTAGTATAAGCACACCATTGATACTTGGATGTTGAGACTATCTACGAATATGCTTTTAGAGATGCAGAGTAATCTGAAAGTTTGGCTCGTGTTATTTTGCTTTAATTAAACATCGAAGCAGCTTGGTCAACCGAATTTATTCGGACGGATTTCTTCTTGTCATCCTGATTATGGTTTGGGGTGTTTACATCAAAGGACAATTTCATTGACTGTATGTCAGTAAAGAGTGCTGCCAACCACACAACAATTTCTTGCTAGAAACATTTTGAGTTTTCATGTGTATTGTGGTTTTGATTTGAAGGCATATTGTTGAATACTGTAGTTCTATCAAACCTCGATAGCATTAGATATTTATTAAATGTTTGAGAAAAAGTTTGTTAAATATTTATAGCGACAGATTTTTTAATATTTAATAAATATATTCCTTATATATTCAAAAAATATTCATTATAGATATTCGCAGTATATATAATTCATATATTGTTTCCAAATATTTAGAAAATATATTAGGGAAGATTTTTAAATATCAATTTTATATTTTGATGAAATATCTAATATTTTTCGTGAATATGTATGGATTAATCTGATACATATTTTCAGTGTATATAGAAAATTATTCATTTGTTATTTTAGCAAAATTTGTAGGACTGCTTAATTTTATAAAATTGGGTTTATAAAGAAAATTCATTCCAGATATAATGGTTTAATTTGATAGAAACAAGATTGTATTAAGAACACAACTATTTATATAGGAAAAATATTATTGAATATCGAATGAATATTTGATGAATATTTCGTACTATCGGGGAAGTTCTATACTTGAATTGAAAAGTCGTTTAATAAAATGGAAAGAAAAACAAGGATGGCATTATGGAATTTGACGTCCAACTTGGCAAAAATTAGAAAAAGGTCTAATCTCGTGAAGAAATCCACGAAGAACATCACGGATTCAAGAAAAAATCCGTAATTTTAAAACGGGTATTACAGTACCCCACCACCACGCTGCGACGTTGCCAACTGCTTCAGTATTCCCTAACATAGGGAGAAGATCCCGCAATTATTTTTGCTCGCGATTGTAGATAGTGGTTTTCATGAAGTGTTTTCTCATTTCCAGATCATTTTACTGCCAAACTGTCAGTGAGGATGACATCTGGACCAGACTTCGTAGCAACTAACTTCACATTTTTCGATTGCAACACCTACAGCTCCTGCACCCAATGTGTGTCATCCTCCTTTCCTTGTGACTGGTGTGTAGATGGTCATAGATGCACACATGACACTGCTGAGAACTGTAGGAATGACATTCTAGTGACGGGAGTCAGTGTAAGTATAAAATCTAACTTCTCATGGGCGCCCGCAGAGAATCTGATTGGACCTTAAATTTTTCATATTTATCACGATTTTGTGTACTATTTTAAAGATTTTTAGCATTTGGCCCTTGCTGGGAAAATTTGCTACCCATCGATCTTCAAAAAGTTTTGACTGGCTAATGCAGGTGCCCATTCTACCACAACTAAAGGAAATCCTATGCTGTACTTTTAAATTCACATACCCTTGTTGTCAAACAAGATCATCATAATTCCCCTTTTTGGAGAAAATTGTATATTCTTAAACATGGCATCAATCTTCTACCTCCCAATTCGATACGTTGCAACGCTGACGTCTAAAGATGGTGCTCAACAGATATACATGGTATCCTGAAAGTTGGGGCCTTCCTTCCTAAATCTGCAAGATTTGTGGCTGTCTAGGTATTCTACTGTATCCGCTTTTGTACGATATAAATAAACCTACTCAGTTCTGATGGAAATATCGAGAACGACGGCGCCGTTTTGAATACGCGAATGCATTCACGGAGTATCAATAAGACCTTGAAGATGCTCACAGTTAACTAACATCAAATCGATTACTGTCGGAATGTGCTGATTTCGGTTTTGAAATGTGGTTATCTTATAAACTAGGTTCACCTACACACCGAGCGGCGCGCCTCCCATTAAGAAAATTTGCTACCCTTCCTCTTCAGTTTTCAGAACTTGTACACTCATCTCTTTCCCCTGAGGAAAATTCCTGCGAACGCCCATGTTTGTGCAGGCACGGCTCTCAATTAAATTGGGTATTTTCTAGTGAAATTCAATAATCTGGTGGTCAGTAACCTTTTAAATAATGTCTCCCATTTTATTTTCAGAGAGCGGGTCCAAGCTATAGATCCGGCCCAGCGTTTTGCCCAACGATCAACGCGACAGTGGGTAACTCCCCGGAAATCCTCGTAGCCTCCGGGATCAAGAAAGCGATAAAAGTGAAAGTACACATTATCGGACAGTTCATCGTTCAGACCAGATTCGTGTGTCAATTTAATATTGAAGGCAGAGTTACCAGTGTGAATGCTCAACTTCTAGGTGATACTATTTATTGTGATGCTATGGAGTTTTCTTATACGTCAAGAGCCCCGAACATTACAGCCACTTTTGCAGTCATCTGGGGAGGTTCCAAGCCTTTGGATAACCCACACAACATTCACAGTAAGTATACGTATAACCTAGATACTTTTTCGTCTGAGATATCGGGTCAGTTGAATTACTAGCCTAAAATCCGGTGCTCGCTGTAGGGTGAATAATATAATAATCATGTACCTAAATAGAACGTAATCTCTCAATATGTGGCCAATAAAAAAAGTAAGTTCTAATTATCATAGTAAATACTCGACCACCGCAAGGTTGGTCAGGCACAGCCAGATGGCGTCTGCGTTTTAATAAATTGGCCAGATCGTGAAAATTGTTCAAATTTGAGAGGTTTTGTAGGTGTCTTTGACTGGAATTATTAACAAAAAAAAATATGGAAACATTTCCAAAATACACCGACAGTTTTTTGACAAAATGAATATGTATATAATGCCTTTCAATTTTCTGATCACTTTAAGATGACGCGTCCAATTTTTTTTAATGTTTGCCTGTTTGCAGCAGTATTCTAAATCTTTTTCATCTGATAGTTTCATGGTGTGCATAGAGATGACTAAAAAGAATGTTTTTTGTGCATTTTATTGTGCACTTTTTCTTCAATCGAAACTTGTTAACAGTACAGCTCTGAAATTGTGTGTGAATATTTCTCTTTTATGGAACAATGAAACGAGTGATTACTTTTGTTCTTATCACTTTTCCTTTTCGAAAAAGCTTTGCTTTTCTTGAAAACTCAACTTGCTGCGAGACGAGACTTCAAGCAAAATTTTTTAAACGCAGAGGAATTTTTGGCCGGACGCCAGCCTGTCATGCCTTTACTGGCTGGACACTGGACCACAACCTGTTTCGCCTCCACTGGCCACTATTCCGTATCCAAGATCTTTTTTCACAAAATTTAGAGTTTCCATGTGAAAATGTCAATTTGACCTTGAATAGACATTGAAGGTCATATCCAAGGTCAGAATGAAGGTCAGCTTAGATGTGCCGTTGGGTGTCCTGCTATTTCCGCATTAAGCTGTCCGCCTGCTTCACAAGATCTCTTGAAAGAGCAACAATTGATTTTGAAATAACCTAGAGACTTATTTTTAGCCCCCTTGATATTTATACCGTTAAAAAGGAAATTTTGTTGGCCTGCTGTAGGGAGAGGTACTTGATTTTGTAGATAGTTTCAAATATTTAGGTATTATAATAGATCAGCAACTAACTTTCAACAAACATGAAGACTATATGTGTCGGAAATTAGGCAAAAAGATCGAGTATTTTCGTAGAATTTGTGACAATCTAAGTCCCTCGTGCAATACAATAATTTTTCCTCATTTTACTTATTGTGCATCACTTTTGATTACATGCACAAATGAGCAAAAGCAAAGGTTAACAATTTATTGAATCAATGTATGCGGATTTTGTTAAATTGTAGCAGGTATACCTCTATGCAGGATATGCTAAAGGTACTGATTTTTTTAAACATACACCAAATTATTCAAGAGGCAAATTTAATTATTTTATATAAAATTACCAATAATCAGTCTCCACCTTAACTTGAACAGTTTCTAAAAAAGATGTGAAATGCAAGGTTACGACATTAAATCAAAAGACAATTTCCATATACAAACATTTAAATTTAAAGGTTTAGAAAAGTCAGTGTTTGTTGAAGGTCTAAAAATGTACAACAATCTGCCTATTAATGTAAATACATCTAGTAATGCTAAAATGTTCAAAAAGAGACTTCGGATAGACTATTTTGTGAATTTTGTGAAGTAGCTTAAAGCTAAGTAAATCCTTTCTATCTATTCTATTTCTGCAGTAAAAAATGGGGGTTTCCATTTGAAATCAACGTGCCCTTGAAATGACCTTCAAGGTAAATGTTAACGTCAAATCCAAGGTCACCACTAGATGCGGCAATTGATTTCCTAAAACTTTTGTTTTTTCTAGATTCCGTGATGTTTGGATGTCCATACTTTTGGGACACCCTGTATATGTGACATGAACGCATTCTATCTCCACAACCGATGGTCTGGATTTCCTTTTTTTCTCTCCCTCTTAGGTTGTGCGCAGGGTTAAACCACAGCGCCACCGGGCTGTCTGAAACTAAAGTATTTGGTACTTTTATTTATTAGAAATCTGCAAATCAAATCTAGCCATTCACTTTTTTCATTCAACTGCCCCATTCCAACGGTTCGCACTCGAAATGTGTTGCAATCGCGTATGCTCTATAAGATCGTAAAACCGACAGTGTAAGAGTAGATCAGACGGTAAAAGTTTAACTACTTTGCACAAATCGTAATATTTTTTCTTTGTTATTGTATGAGAGTACTTTATTTATTAGACATTGTCAGTTTAATGTTCGAACCTTACTTTTCGGTTATGACGAATATTATCTCTTTTTTAGTTGTGATATACCGATGCAGAGATATGGCGGATAACTGCGGCATCTGTCTAGCCCTGGCTGAAAAATATGATTGCGGTTGGTGCCAAAGTTCTGACAGATGTGAAGTAAAAGATCAATGCGAAAAAGGGTCTGCCGTTTGGTTGAACAGAAGTCAAACCTGTCCAAATCCAGAGATAACTTCCTTCTCACCAGAACTTGGACCATGGGAAGGTGGTACCAACATTACCATTCAAGGGATCAACTTGGGAAAGAATTTTCAAGACATTTATTCCGGAATAAGCATAGCTGGGATCAACTGTCAGCCATACGAACACTTGTATATCAAAACAAAACAGATCGTTTGTCAGGTAAGAATTAAAATTAGTTTTTTTTTTTTTGGAGAGCAGCAAAGCTGGTTGAAACTGTCAGCTTTGCTGCTCTAAAGTGGCAATGCAGCGAAGCACTTCAAGGTGTATCCTAATTTTCAGGTTGATGGTCCTGGAACCAAGGAACTCCGCCAAGGTCCAGTAACAGTTAAGGTTGAAGATTACCGCGGCGAATCTAAAACTCACTACAAATTCGTGAACCCAAACATCACAGGAATCTCACCGAGATACGGTCCGAAATCGGGTGGAACGATGCTTCAGATAACCGGGGAGTATATGAACGCTGGTAGCAACATACAGGCGTTCTTAGGTGACCTACCGTGTCAAATTCTGTCAACTGAAATGCACCAAGCTTTGTGCATCACCAGCGCTTCAGAAACGACGACAGAAAAGAAGCTTAGGATGAAATTCGACAAGGGAGATCGCTACTTAGACGGCATCATGTTCAAATACGTAGAAGATCCGGTTATTGAGTCAGCAGAATCTGGAGTTCCAAGTCAAGTGAAGGTACCTAAGGGTATACCTGCTGGAGGTATCAAAATTTCGGTCACTGGAAGGAATCTCGCTTATATCCAGAAGCCACAAATGTATGTTTTCTACGAGCAAAAGATGTTCATAAGCGTAAGTAGAAGATATGTGTTTAACTAGCTTTAGCCTTACATTAGTAGATGAATTTTCACAAATAAGGTATCCCTGAATACGTGAGCTAATTTTACGATTTATGTATAACGTATGTCCCAAAAGTTTTGGCACAAAATATTTATCGGATATTTTTTTTAATGAAGAAATTTATTTAAACACTACAACTGAATACTTAACTAATCTGTACTATCGAATTATGTGGAGTGGCCCATTCTGCTCTACCAGACGCAACTTTCTTCGAATGTCTCTTAGTCTAATCATATTAGACGAAAATACCCCTGGTTTGCAAAATAATTGTAGTTTTCTTTTATTGCTGCAAGTTGTTCAAGCGGATATTCAAAACATGGACGCATAAAATGGGTACACCAATGTTTGTGAAAAAATTTATTATACGACAACAAAGAATGAGAAAACGTGTTTTTTGGGATTCAATCGAAAGTGTTGGCAGAAACGAAAAAACTCTTCATATACTCGTAGTAAGGTATTTGATATGGTCAGTCATCAAATTTTAAGTTTTAAGCTATATAATTGTGGATTACGTGAAAAAATACACGATTGGGTCATGTCATATCTTGCTCTAAGGGAGCAGTCTGTGGATGTTGATGGATGTTATTCTTTACGGCATAATGTCGAGATCGGTGTACCTCAGGGCTCGATCCTAGGCCCATTACTTTTTTGCTATTTGTTAACGACTTGCCAGGAGTAGGTAGCATCACGGATGATTTGGTTATGGATGCTGACGATAACACCTCCCTTTGTATAAAGTCATGCATTGATAACCTACAATGCATAATAAATAAATTTAGAAGATATTTTTTAGCACTCAATTGTCACTGAACGCAAAAAAGACTGTCTTCTTGAATTTTACTCCTCGTTCCAGCACAATCAATGAGAGCCAATTAGTCAAGGTCAATGGCAAGTCGTTGGTTCAAGTAGCAAATACAAAGTTTCTAGGAATTGATGTTGATGCAGCTCTTCAGTGGGAGCACCACATAAGCAAACTTTGCGAAAGCTTGTCATCTGTTTGTTTTGCAATCTGGAGGCTCCGACAAGTATGTCTGGAGAAAGTTATAATTTCATATTATCATTCACAGTTTGCTTCTAGAGTAAAATATGGCATTATTTTTTGGGGAACATCAAGTCATGTGCAGAGGGTTCTTATATTACAGAAAGGGGCATTGAGAACAACAGCTGGTGTAGCACCGCTTACATCGATTTCAAAAAGTACAGGGATTCGGTAGAGGGCGTTCCTAGCTAACGAATGAGCGGCTGGTCAGTTGTCTCCGAGAACTTGGAGAGTCAGGACAGGCATTTTCGCGCGACGTGAAACTCGGTAAATCTGTGACAGAGACGTTTGATATGATCAAGCAGGCTTACCCAGGAGCTGCTTTAGCAAGAAGTGGTGTGTTTCGGTGGCACCAGGCCTTTTTGGAGGGCCGGGAAGAGGTCGCTGATGAAGACCGTGCTGGAAGACCTTCGACTTCGACAAACACCGATAATGTGACTCGTGTGCGCAAAGTTTTGAACTCAGACCGTCGACTAAGTATTCGTTTAATTGCCCAGATGTGAAATTTACCAAAATCTATGGTTCATGACATTGTGACACAGCGTTTGAACATGCGCAAGGTGTGCGCAAAGATGGTCCCAAAAGTACTCACTGACGACCAGAAATTGCGGCGAGTGGAAGTGTGCCAAGAAAATTTGAACATGTGTGAAAGTGAACCCCAATTTTTGAATAACGTAATCACAGGTGATGAGTCGTGGATCTTTGAGTATGATCCCGAGACAAAGAGGCAATCTTCCGAGTGGCACACGACGGCGTCTCCTCGCCCAAAAAAGGGATGAATGAGCAAATCCAAAGTGAAAATGATGCTCATTGTCTTTTTTGAGCTCAAAGGCGTCGTCCACCATGAATTTGTTAATCCTGGACAAACCGTCAACGCCAAGTTTTACGTGGAAGTGCTCAGGAGACTCAAACGAAGGGTCAGTCGGGTCCGACAAGACATCGCAACCGACTGGAAGTTGCACCACGACAACGCCCCGGCTCACACCGTCTTTCTTGTGAACAGCTACCTGACCAAGGTTGGCATCCCAACGCTTCCGCAGCCGCCCTACAGCCCAGATGTGCCCCCCCCCCCCCCGGACTTTTTTTTGTTTCCTCGCCTGAAAAGGCCGATGAAAGGCAAGCATTTTGAGACGACAGAGGGAATCCAAGCAGCATGCTCTCAACGCTATTCCGGAGAATGCCTTCCGTGACGCCGTCAATGCTTGGAAATCGCGCTGGCAGCGCTGCATCGACGCAGAAGGAGCCTATTTTGAAAGTTTTTAAAGAATTGTAACGATTGGCTCAATAATTTTTTTTAAATCGACTCAGTCCTATTACTTTCCGGACAAACCCTGTATATGTATATTTCTCTTCTGTAAAATTATAAATATGTATACTATCCTTTGAGTGTGCATCGACGTTTCCTATGCCATGTATTTGGTCGATTGGAATAAATTGATTATTATTATTATCAGATTTTTAGGTATTTATGAGACCTACAAAATGAGACTACACTTAAAAAGATCCGACTAAAACCGAGGCAAGATATTTGAGATTCTTCAAATTCGTAGATTTCGTGTTTCTAAATAACCACAACAAAATTGAAGTAGATTAGTCAAGTAGTTTTTTTTTATACTCCAACTACCACGAAGGCCTAAGGCCTAAACACATTGGGTACCGTGGGGCTATGGGGAGATACAGGGGAAAGGGACGCCACACGGACTCTGGCGAGGCATGCAACCTGCACACATTCTGGCTCCGCCTACGAGATCCGACGGGTGGTACCTCCACGTTCGACAGTCAGAGACCGTCTACCACCTACGGACAATCACAACATCCATAGCCAAGAGAAAATTTTCTCCTGGGACGGGACTCGAACCCGCACAGCGCACGGCGACTGATCAGGAGACCGAAGAGTCTACTATTGCGGCCACCGCTGCTGCCTAAAGATTTTGAGAATTTCTAATTGTTTATTCCAAAACACCTGCCATCACTACTAGTTTATTGAGCTATATAGTTCAAAGGGCATTTTATAGCAAAATACACTAGTTTACCTTGGGGATATGAATCGCAAACCATTTCGGAAGATAAATGTTATTTTTATGCAAAAAATGATAGGTTACGTTTTTCGTATTTGTGATTAATTCGTTAGAAAAGATTATAGCCACATCCGCTTTGTTTTAAAATGTGTATAGTAATGTATGTTTTTCGAATATCGTAGCGCTTTTGTTCAATTACTCACAAATACGAATTGGTTGAATTTCGGAATGGTTTGTGATTCATATCGACAAGATAAACTAGTGTTTTTTTGCTATTAATTGCTTTTTGAACGAACCCTGTATATTGCTCAATAAACCAGTAGTGATGGCCTGAAAACAGGTGTTTTGGGATAAACAATTAGAAATTCTCAAAAAACTACTTGACCAATCTACTCCAATTTTGTTGTGGTTATTTAGAAGTACGAATCCTATGAATTTGAAAAATTTCAAATATCAAAAAGCGCCAAAACCTGCAGTTTGCCTAGGTTTTCGGCCATAACTGTTTTGCTATTAGTGGGATCTTTTTACGTGTGGCCTCATTCTGTATGTCTCATAAATGCCTAAAAATCTTATATGAAAAGTTTTTTCGTGCCTGCCAACACTTTCGATTGAATCCCAAAAAACACGTTTTATCACTCTTTGTTGTCGAATAAAAAGTTTTCCCACAAGAATTGGTGTACCCATTTTATGCGTCCATGTTTTGAATACCCCCTTGAACAACTTGCATCAATAAAACCAGATTTTACAGTTATTTCGTCTAATATGATTTGACTAAGTATTTGGCCCTTCTATTTTTTGGAAAGCATTTAATGAAATTTTGACACAAACTTGCTACAATGCCGAGGACGAAAAAGCTTTACAGGCTCTGAAAATCGATCCAGTGGCGGCGAAGGTACAGGCCAAAAACAAAAAGCTAAGAATCGAATATGTACCATTTTAGGCTATGTTTTTCAGGGTGAAAATCTACATAAAAATGATTTTATTTTCTAACGTTATAAAATACCCATAATTAGCTTCAAAATAAGGTGTCACATGACCCATATAAAAAAAATATTACAAAAAGGTGTCCATGTCATCATCCCGAATTTCAGCTTGGTTTCTTGACTCGTTCGAAAAATAAGTAGGATAGGGGGCTTTCTGAAAATCACTGTACAAATAAAATGTTCTATTTCAGGAGTGTAATGTATTGAGCAACACCAGCATGGTATGCCTGAGCCCAGTAATAGAGATCGATGAAGACACAAGATTAGATGCCGATAACCCCTTGAAACTTGAGTATGGTTTCAAAATGGATAATGTCACTGGAGTACAAAACCTTACTCTCAATAAGGATTTCCACCCGTTCTTGTTGTATCCAAACCCAATCTTCTTGCCATTCGAGAAAGAAGTAAAGTACTACAAATCAGACTATCTGAATATCAATGTAAGTATCGCACTGGCTATCAATGCATACGTATACATATAATTAAAGTAGAATAAAACTGGAATGTTTTCTGATGGGGCTTCCCGCGGGACAGATGCGGAATGTTAAGACTAAAAATTCGTCCAGTGGGAAAATTCACTTTTTGATTTAAGAAAAAAAAATACGAACCTAATGAAAATAAAATGTTTATTACTATCAACATGTTCGTAAATTTGGCCGGTTTTATGTTTTAATTAATATTCAGGCCAAATTTTTCCCATTCTCATCTAATCGTGCGCGCAAATTCTGAAACACCCTCTTGCAGAGTTCCGGAGTGATGTGGTTTATCTCTCGTCGAATGTTGTCTTTAAGCTTCTCCAGTGTTGGATTATTGGAATGCACTTTTGACTTACGGTAACCCCAAAAAAAAATCGCATTTCGTGAGGTTGGGTGACCTAGGAGGCCAGTGGATGTCTCCAAACTTCGATATAACTTTTTGAGGAAGAAGTGTCCATCGATTCTCTGGAAGTATTTGCAGTGGCCCCATCCTGTTGTTGACACGACGTTCTGTTCTTACAATAGGGGCAAAAAAAGTGTCAATTATAATTATGTCCTTGTATCGCTCGGAAATGACAGTCAATACATGACCGTTTTCATCTTCAAATACGGCCCAATAATACCGCTAGAGGATTTGGCGCACCAAACAGTCACCTTTGGACTATGTAGCTGTTGTTGATGTTTCTCTTTTGGGTTCGTTGATGCCCAATATCTGCAATTTTGCGTCTAATTGAAAATGGGCCTCGTCACTGAAAACAACGTTCTCGAGTCTGAGCTGCGAAGGAAAAAGATTCAACATTCGTTCAGCACGAGATTTCCGTAATACGTAATCACATTCCTTTAAAGCATGGACTGATTGTATTTTATAAGGAGAAAAAACGATTTTTTTCTTCATAATGCAATGCAGTGTTGACCTAGAGATTCCCAAAGCAGCGGAATGCTTCCGTACAGAACGCCCAGGATTTACAATGACCGAATCACTTACTCGACGCACATTTTCTTCGGTGTGGGGCCAGGAATGGGTTGACTAAGAGTAGACCCTGTTTTACGGAACCTCTTGATCCTCTTTTACCAATAGATGCTTACTTGAGGCATCTCTTGGTCGGCAATGTTGTATCGTGTACAAAATTTCCGAAGCGCAGCTGTGTATGAATCACCACTATTGTAGCAAAAGCACGTTGCGCTCCGGTCCAGCGTTCCATTGTGACTATTTAACGCTGAACGCGTCGATCAAGACCTCTCCCCATTTCCTCGCAGTGGCGCTCGCAGGATGTCACTCTGGAAGGGGTAAAATGGAAAGTAAATTCTCAGTGTGACGTAGTGAAGTGTTATAGTGATTTGACATTAAAAGCATGGACATATGCAGACATGAATTTGTTACAGTAATTTCTGTAGAAAATACATACAATTTTTTTAATTTTGAATCATACGAAATCAAAGTGTAAATAAAACAAACCAAGCTCGAGCAATCTTCATATAGGTGTATTAAAACAAAAAAGGAAAATAATATAATCTATCATAGACTGTTCTACATAAAAATGTCAGACAAAATACCAAAAAATACATCTTTATGAAAAAAATAACAATAACAAATATGTTACTACTTCTATAACACTGAATGTAAATCAAAATAAAATTCTTAATCATGAGAAAAACACAAAAAGTATTCATTGCATAACTGCATTCTCTTAGGCAGTCTCAAAACACAAAAACGTGTAAACTATGAAACTACATCAGTTCACAGTCTCAAAATGAAACAATCATTACGTTAGCTTACAAAGAATTTGAACAGACTTTTATATCATATTGCAAAATCAAGGCGCCTATTCTTTTTGCTGGCGAACCGATCTATGATTGTATTCACGTCTATCTTAATATCCCTATGTATATACAAACCCACTAATCGCTCTTGTAACGTAGTAGAGCGCAGCCAAGTTTATCCTCTAGATGGGAGAAACTTCTTTCAGATGTCGCAACACTTACCGGCAATGAAATCAATAAGTGTAGGCATCTATTAATTGAAGGAAAAATGTTTTCATCACATGATAGATACAGTGACATTCCACTGTCTATAATATCTTGTGTACGTGACTTCCAAAGGTCAAATTTTGCTTTTAATCTGGTACTTATTAAAGTTTTGCTTTCGTTACTATTTAGTCCTTGCAAATATTTAGAGATTGTTTCTAATATGTCCATTACTTCAGCTTCAGTTTTTGAATTAAATACTGACGCAGAGAAAATATTAAAATTGTATATATTCAAAGATTCTTCATTGAACCGGTATACCAAATCCTGTAATATATTATCTAGCAAAGGGACATATAGGTTCAGTCTGTAATGAATGTTTTTTTGTCAGACGTAACTATGTTCGGTCTGTTCATTTGCCTGCTTGTTATTCTCGGCGCAGTCAGTCCAATACCCAGGGTTTCATGTGATTTCATTATAGATGCGAATGGTATTCTAAAGTGTTTTTCGGACTCTGCGCGTCTTTCTTGTACAGCTGAAATAATATTTCCTATGAGTTTGACAGCGTATTGTTTGTCAATTGTTTTTGATTGTAAAATCTTACTCAGGTTGACTGTTAAAGTTAATATATCACACAAACGCTTTAGTGATACGATAAAGGTGGAAGTAATGACAGTCTTCAAAGACTCCGCTTTTGAAGAAGCTTTGCGGTCTTTCCAATTTGATATAATATTTAGTACCTCTACAATTTTCTCGAATTTGCTTTCAAATTGGAGAACAGAATCATGTCTCTCGGTCCAACGTGTTTCGCACATCCTATGCATTTGATATCCGTCTAGTTTTCTTTTTAATACTGTATTTCTTTTAGCGGATGCTTTGAAGAACGCAATTACTTCCTTCATTATACCTACAGTACTTCTTACTGCTTGGACACTGCTGCTTTTTGAAATCGAAAGATTCAAGACATGATTGGGCTTTTTAGAGCATTTGGCAAACATTTTTGCAATCCCAGTACAGCGCCCTATTGTTCACCTAACATTAGGTTACACCAATGCCTACACATAGTTTTGAGTCTAAGTTATTGGTTTTAATGAAACGCTAGACTATTTGCGTAAGAATTTGACCTGTGAGTTTGGGCTCCATTGTATCTTCATCAAAATTTGAGTAGCAATCCACAAATCCCATGAAGTCCTCGTAAATATGTTTTTAATAACAATACCGCAATACGATTGACATTTGTGATTTATGGCTAATGTCTGTAGTTTCGTCAAATATACTGTACTACTGACTTTGCCTGATGCGACTTAAAACTATATCCAAGATTTCTTCGCCACAACATTCTATAATTTCATTTTGGATGCGGCTGCTTATGTACGTAGCATGCGTTTTTGAGTTGTTGAGTTTTTTTTCAATAAATTGTCGCCGCTCTCGACTCTAAGCCGAATTAGTTCTCTAAAATTCCCTTCATTATTAACGACATCCTCGTCATTCGTGCTGCCATTAGTTTGTTTTGCTTAGAAAGGAACCAATCGATCGTATTCTGTTTCCTTTTACTCATCCTGACAACAGCAGCCGTCAACCAGCACTAAAAGTTACACAAATATTATCAAATAAACGGCATTATTGGTTTCCACGCATTCACGTATCTCATAACAAAGAACCTTTTCTGTTTCTTAAGTTCACGCATTTTCAAAAACTAAATATATAATTTGCCATCTCGGACGAACGAAATGCACTGAAGTGCCTATACTCGTATACAGGGACTTCCGAGACAAAATAAACATAGATGATAATGATAGCTGTAGTATGAAGCAAACACTTCGTAATTGAAATAATATTAAATTTCCATTTTTCCGTTTGTCATTTTTTTAGACACGATTCTTTTATAGTATAAAAATTAAAAACAAATAACAATTAATTTTCTGGCTTATGCGTGGAAAATAAAAAATCAAGACAAAATAGCGTTAATACCAACCAGATCAACAAAACTCCGCTTGGTACAGAGTTTAGACACTAGACTAGACCATAAAAGACTAGACTATACCTGTTCCAACAGGAAAAAGCGCACACCGTTGCTGTTGGTGGAAGAGTAGTCGCTAGTCGCATGCGCACTGAGCGGGTCGGCAGTGTTGCCGCTATCCTTTCTTAAAGTTACAGATTTTTTTATAAAACATTTACTTTATACCACCTTCTCAAAGACTGCTCGAGACGTCTCGCCCCGTGGGAGCGCCAGTGGTTCCTCGCGTATACGGTTGCCGCGTAATTCAAATTTGAAATGTGAACTTTTCCACTGGACACACTGTAGTATTACTGAGAAATCTATATAGGGTATCACAATTTAATTTCTTTTTCAGGGCCAAAACATCGACAGAGCTTGCCAAGAATCTGACGTCGAAGTGCTTATAGGCAAAAGCAACTGTAATGTAACATCTCTATCTCGCCAACAACTAACTTGCAGACCTCCTGAAACTCAACCGCAACCACTGAATGACCAAGGGCTACCAAACGGCGAGGCATTGCCTGAGGTCATAGTGATTGTCGGTGGTTCACTGAGGTACAACATCGGAGTACTATCTTACTCCTCTCCTCAAGGGTTGAACGGACCAATTACGAAACCTACACTTTACGGAATCATTTGCGTCAGTTTGGGGATATTCATTGTGTTCATACTCTTCCTCATAGCTTATAGAAGAAAGTCAACGGAAAGCAATAGGGTTTTGAAGAACATGCAAGAACAGATGGACATATTGGAGCTCAGAGTAGCTGCGGAATGCAAAGAGGCATTTGCTGAGCTCCAGACAGAAATGACTGATCTCACGGGTGACCTCACGTCTGGAGGCATACCCTTCCTAGACTATAGAACCTACGCTATGAAAATACTCTTTCCGAATGTTGATGACCACATAGTACTCCAATGGGAAAGACCTGAGCTCCTTTGCAAAGAAAAAGGCTTGCGACTGTTCGGTCAACTGATAATGAACAAGACGTTCTTGCTTCTGTTCATAAGGACTTTAGAAAGTAATAGGTACTTCTCGATGCGGGATAGGGTGAATGTAGCCAGCCTTATCATGGTGACTTTACAAAGCAAGATGGAGTATTGCACTGACATGCTGAAAACCCTTTTGTCGGAACTGATAGAAAAGTGCATGGAAGGTAAGTAAGATACGCAATTTTAAGTATAGTAGAGACGTAGGTATACAAAAACCTCGGAACCCAGGTCCACCGAATGGATTTTTGTGAAAAGTGGCCAAAAAAGATTTGTCCAAAGCCAACTAAACACATATTTACATAAAAACACAAACATATATCGTACAACTTTTTATTAGTATTTGAACGTGTGAATGACTCTTAAACTAAAACTTGGGATAAAATATAACAGAAAACTATAATTTATCCAACGAACGTACGGAGTAATAAAACAGGTGACAGCGCAGCCCGATTTACACGGCACAACTACCTGCAAAACCGATGCCAGTGGCGTGTAGGTTTTAAAATTAATTGAGGCACCATTTAATTTATGTTCACTGTTTCTTCTATCATTACGTTCAAGGTGCTATGAGGTTTATTGCATTGATATATCAAATATGTTGCCCCAGTTTATGATTGAACTTTATATATTTTTTTATGATACAAAAATAATTTTAATACATGCGAAAAAATTAAGGAAAAGGACTCAAAAATTAAATTATTTTTTAGATTGGATTCTGGATCTTTTTAATGCAATACCTAGTAATGAATCTACCTGCGTTCATTACCACGTTTATTTCGACGGCTCTATCCGGGTAGACTTTAAAGTGGATTATCCCAATCATGTGTAATCCTGACCGTTTATTTCGACAATCTACAAGTAAACCAAAACTGATAACGTCAAAATCTTGGACAACGGGCTCCTTCGAAATTAGCGGTCAGCATTGGGATAGCCCACTTTAAAGTCTATCCGGATAGAGCAATTGAAATAAACATGGTAATTATACAAGTGTGTTTAGGGATATAGGTCCTTCGTCATTATCCAGTAAATGTACAAATTACATTTATAAACTAATCGCTCTTTCCATACATTGGTCAGTTGTCCACATTTTTTTCTTTCTCCTTCTCAACATGTTCGATTGCTTTTTTCCAATTTTCCGGAGTTATCTTGAAAACTACATTTTCAATTTGCGCCCAAATTAACTCGATTAGGTTAAATTCGCAATGGTAAGGAGGCAGGCGTAAAGTCGTCCGATTGGTAGATTTAGCCATTTCATCGATGACCTTTATTGCCCTTGACCAGATTTAAAAGTTTTGCTTCGGCCATATCGTTTGCAAAGGGAACATTATCCCTTCGTAGCCATTCCTGTATTTCCCCTTTTCTGTTTCCACTGTTTGGTACTTAATCAAACGCCTACTGTGGTATGAAGCATTGCCCATAACAATGACAACGTTCTCTTCTAGACGACTAGGAAGGCTTGCCGAGGATGCTCAACTGATGAATCCACCCATACTTTGCTAACTGTGTCCCTTTCATTAACCCACATCTCATCTAGGTAGTATATCTTCCTGCCTTCTTCTCTGTACTTCCAGATTTTGCGTAAGAATCTACGTCTCCATCATTTTATCTCGTCCTTTTCTTTCAAGATGCTATTTCGCTTCCTTCCTGCAAAACTAAAAATTACATTAAATCTTTAAATTCGTTAATTCAATGAACCATATTATACGAATAACGAATTTCAGGTGATTCATCTTAACAAAATTGCAAATTTAGTCTAGTCATAAAATATAGGTAGATAGATCAAAGAGAAATAAATAACAAAATAAGTTTTTTGAACAACACTTACCGAAAATTAAGTTCCTTCATTAATGTAGCCAACGTCGATCTTTTGAAGTCTGTCAAGTCGTCGTCGTCGTTTATTGATAACAAAATTTTGTCCGATGTGGGTGGTTCGTTTCGGAAGAAAAATTCGTGAATTTTTGTTCGGATTAATGCCTTAGTTTCTTGTGAAACGTTGTCCAAAACTACTGTGGCTCTATGGTAACATTTGGGAAGAAAAAGAATGTTGCTTCTTTTGTGCTCTGCCAAAATTTTATATACACTGCTAATTGATGCTCCTGAAAACAAACTAATACATTTTGCATATATTATACATACATGCATTGATAAATACTAAAACTAATTGAAAATAAGTTTCAAAAATCGAAATGTGTGCAATAGAAGTAGCTATCATATTAGTGGGTAAGATATTTAACAGAAAATAACTATTATTTAAAATGACAAAACATTTTAAACTATAGTTCAAAGCTAAATCCTCACCTGACGCCCTTGAAACAAAGGCTACACGTTCTGTCTGAGTTTCAGTTGGATAGCGCTCCCGAGAAGCTATATAAATATTTATAATAGTTTCTTTTTCAGAAACCGACAAAGCTCTTTTTGCCCGTTTTCTTGATAATTGGCCCTCGTCTAATAAGGCAATCATGCTGAAATATCCTTTTAAAAGTTGTCTCACAAAAATGAATGAAGCATACCAAAAAAAAAAAATTCAACCGTACGCCACAGACCTTTGGAAGTGCTATTGTGAACTTGGCGGCTTATCCTACCGAAAACGAACCAATAGGAACGAGGCGCGTGCCGGTCAGATGATTTATTACTCCATACCCCTTGGATAGATTATAGTTATATATTTTAGTCATTTAATTTCACTTTCAGTCATCCTCATTATTGATACCTTTTACAAAAGTGATGTATCTGTAAATCTGGTACATAGTTTAAGACATGTTTTTCATTTCTAGGTAAAAGCCATCCAAAGCTGTTGTTAAGAAGAACGGAAAGTGTCGCAGAGAAAATGTTGAGTGCTTGGTTTACATTCCTCCTGTACAAGTTCTTACGTGAATCGGCAGGAGAGCCGCTATTCATGCTATTTAGGGCTGTTAAACAGCAAGTTGATAAAGGACCAGTTGATGCTATCACTTCGGAAGCTAGGTACTCCCTTAGTGAGGAGAAACTCATCAGACAATCAATAGATTTTAAGCCAATGGTAAGCAATTATTGTTATCGAAAACATATTGGATAATTTTGTGGTTGACGATCTTCATCCAACTTTGGGGCCCAATTGTTGCAGAGAAACGTGGAAATATTTATGGGATAGATCAAAAAATAACATGAAAATATCAAACAAACATGGGTCCTAAACTGCCCCCTCTTCGAGGCGCTGGGTGTTGAAATTATAGTTTTGAAATCGTAAAAGAAATATCGGGTTTTCCAATAGGGACTTGACAACTTTGAACTTTCACTGTGAACGCACCTTGAAATCAATTACCGAACTGTCAAAGTCAAAACATTCAGTAAAGAAAACATTTTCGTCATGGTGAAGTACACGAACGAAAAACGCTTACAAATAATTAAAATTTACTACCGAAATTCCGAGTCGGTGACTGCAATTTTTGGTCGTAATTCTCGTCCCAGAAGACAAGCAATTCATAGTCTAGTAAAAAAATTGAGTCCACATATTCGCTTTTCTTGAGAAATTTTAGTCAGCCCTTTTGGAGAAAAAATGGTTTGAATATTTTAGGTGAAATCTATATATAAAACTGCTACCTGCTTTAAAAATATGCTTGAGTGGTAGCATTATTTAAACAATGATCATGTTTGAAATTTACAACACTCTGTATCTTGGTAATAAGATATTTTAGGACCTATGCTTATACGATTTCTTTTGTCGTTATTTTTGGATGTACTGTTTACCCTAAAAATATTGCCACGTTTATCGGGAACACCCTTTAGATGGCCCTAATATAGACGAGAGAAAAAAGGAAAAAATTACCTACAATTAACTTTGCTTTGTTTTTTTTTCAGACTGTATATGTTTCAATATCCCAACAAACGTTATTTGGAGGAGGTGAACATAATGCAGACAACATTCCTGTGAAGGTGTTAGATTGTGATACCATTAGTCAAGTAAAAGAGAAGTGTTTGGATACAATTTATAGAGCAACTCCTTATTCCCAGAGACCAAAAAAGGAAGATTTAGATTTAGGTAAGCCATAATTTAAGGCTTCGAGTGCCGTGGATTTCGTGTCTTCAGATGAGCCCACATCCCAAGTCCAAAGTGGTTGAATTAAAAGAATTCTGGTCACCAAAGTTAATTTAGATTTGATAATTTTGACATTGTCATGATAATTTGGATGTAGATCACCAGAAGCAGGTGTCAAAATTGTCATAGTCATGTAAGTCATGTCGAAATTCAATTATAATCAGGCCCTTGAAATGACAAAAAAAAGGAGCAAAATCGTGCAACACTGTCAATGTTTCGCAGGCAACGTGGCATGTGTTGAAACCTACATAACACATCATGATGTTCTAACGCTCATACGAGGTCTGTAAATCAAGTAATGAGACTGATTTTTTTAATTTTTGTATTGATATACAGTGGAGGTCAAAAAAAATAAAAGTGCACATTTTGAAAACCAATAATATAATTAAGCGTCATATACGAGGGGGTACCCAAAAAAACAGGAATTATTTTTTAAAACCTATTTATTTTCAACTTTTCCACAAAGTAACCTTATCTCCTTCAAAATACTGTCCACTACAACTAATACACTTGTCCCACCCGTGCTTCCACTGCTCACTACAGATTTGTAAAAATACAAGTGGTCAAAAAAATAAGAGTAAATTTAAACAATAGATAAAACAGACAGAACACTGCATTTAATTAACATATTTTTATTTCTAATTAACGAGTATTTTTAGTACTTGATAGAGTAAGCCTTGTTCTTCAGGACAGCACCACATCTGCTCAGCATTGAGTCGATACGTTTGTGGCAGGTTTCCAGAGGTATTGAATAGCATGATTTTTGAACTTGTTCCCAAAGTAACTTTTGGTTTGTTGTCTTTTTGTGTGATATTCGATGCATCAATTCCTTCCAAAGATTCTCAATCGGAGTCAAGTCTGTTAGTACTTTAGCTTTCACACAAGGGGATCTTTTAAGTACTTTCGAAATAAATGCGTAGGTTTTAGCGCGACACATGTTGCAAAAATAGGACCATCAATAAACTCTAATACTATACTAAGCATAAAAATATTCTACTGGCTATAATAGCAAAAACATTTAACGTAGATACTCTTATCTTTTTATCCACAAAATTCCCGATACTTGATAAAATTGAATGGCCTTGACATTCCATATGTGTATGTAAAGCATAAATATTTATCTTGCATAATGCACTATCCAAGAAAAAAATTACTTTGCAATCACCTGGATAATTTTGTTTTTACATAACATTTTAAATATTTTTCTTTTACACCACCACTGTATAATAAATTTTATATTGACACTGTTAAAGTAACTTCCTTCTGAAGCCACACAGCGTGGGAGACTGTTCTTTCACTCCTCATAGCAAAGCTGGAACCCCACTACTGAAATAGTCTTCAGCTGGTCGGTTACAGCCGTTTGAATATTTTCTGAGGAGCTACAGGAATGTTTTTACTCGTTTATTGACATTGCTGTGACAAGGAGCATTATCATGATGCAACAGCCAAATCTCTTCCATAATCATTCTAACAATCTCAACGCACAAGATACGGGATTCTGTTGATATTTTCATCGGTTCTTGAAGATGAAGGCCTTCCGCTTCGTGGTTCATCCATTCGAGTCTCTCCGTCTGAAAATGCCTTAAACTACCGAAAAACCTCGTATTCAAATTCAGCGTTTCAAGTTACCTAAGTGCACAAAGTTTAATTCGTTTGGAACAACGGCAGACGAAAAGGGAAAAAAGTTTCCTTACGAGAAAGTCTTCTGTTTGTCAACATCCTTCCGTAAGCACCGGTACATAACATCGTATTTTTTGCAGAATGGCGTACGGGAACGTCAGGGCGGCTGATCCTGTACGACGAAGATAGTACAACAAAAGTAGAAGGTGACTGGAAGAGGAGGAATACGTTGCAACATTATAGAGTACCTGATGGTGGCTACCTGAACCTAGTGTCCAAGCAGAACTCCATGTACAACCTAAGCATATTCTCCGAGAAGAACGACAAATCTCACAAATACGAGACTCTAAACCTTAGCAAGTTCAGCTCGGTCAGCCCGCCATTGAGTAGAGCGACTAGTCCCTTGAACCATGATCACGACCAGGGACTGAAAGTTTGGCATTTAGTTAAACATCACGACAACGATAACCAAAAAGAGGGCGAGAGAGGCAACAAAATGGTAAGATTTAATGGTATTGGTATTAGGTAGCATCTACACTGTGCGTCAGAATCAGGATCCCATTGCAAATTTGCAGGTAATTTAGTTCGTCGGCCCTCCAAATTTTCGAGTAAATTGCCAAGAAAACGACGCAAGAATTGTAGTTGAGCAACCGAAAATAATATTTTGTCCAAGTGCTTATTCTGTGTATTTCGATGCGCTGAATCTAAATTTGAGGTTTATTTATCACGTTGTCCATGCAACAAAAACTCCGATCAAATCCCGCGAGAACTAGTCTCCAAGAAATTTGGAACAGTTTTACCCCAGATGACTGCCAAACATTAGTTGACTATGTCAAGACGTATCGAAGCAGTGGTGATTTGCTGCTATTTGGTTTCGTTGATTTTTATTGATCGGCAGTTTTTTAAAATTTGCAAGATATTTGATCTTTGTTGAAAAAATATAGTATTTTAGACCGATATCGTATGTTATCAGAAATACATTTTAGTTTTTAAAACATTTCCGCTAATATGGCAAATTTCATAAAAAACGTAGTTTTGATAGTTGGACCAACTTCGCTGAGACAGGACTCGTATATCAAGATTCGTTACCACTAGCTTGTACTTTGTCCTCAGCAAAGTGGCACATCTTAGTTCTAAAAGCGAAGCCATCAACTTTGAAAGTGAGACGCTAATTTTGATGGCCAGTGTATTGAAAGCTCATGCCAACACCTGTATAAAAATTCTATCTTTGATGCTTTGCCTTTTCAGGTATCTGAAATCTATCTGACCAGACTTTTGGCGACCAAGGGCACTTTACAAAAGTTTGTGGATGATCTCTTCGAAACCATTTTCAGCACAACTCACAGGGGATCCGCCCTGCCTCTTGCCATAAAATACATGTTCGACTTTTTGGACGACCAAGCCCTTCAGCATGGCATCTCAGATCCTGAAGTGGTACATACTTGGAAAAGCAATTCTCTTCCGCTTAGATTTTGGGTGAATCTGATCAAAAACCCCAATTTCGTGTTCGATATCCACAAGTCGAATATTGTGGACTCCTGCTTATCTGTTGTTGCTCAAACTTTCATGGATTCTTGTTCTACTTCTGATCACAGGCTAGGTAAGTTGCAAAAACAAAAAGTAATCTTATTTACCTATATCCTAATTTATCTAAACTTGAACATCCTCAAACTATCACATTTTTAGTAAGCAGGGGCTTGGTAGAATATATTTTTTTATCTCGTTTATTTTTTGAACAATACCAGGTTGCAATTTTAGGTGACATTATTTACCTGGGTGTTTTTGTTATCATTTCCCTAGGCAGAGAAAAGTTACTTCTCAGTGAGGCATTGCGGTCATTATTGGTATTGTTTTTTTCGTTAGTAGTGATAAAAAATTATTTCATAACATCCTATAGCCATATGGGAACCAATTGGTGTATGACGCCATAGGTGTCTGTCTGAACACTTGGCTTTTAAAACTGAGTATACCTTTTTATTTAAAATTTATTTTGTTACAGGCAAGGATTCTCCTAGCTCCAAACTCTTGTATGCTAAGGATATTCCTTGTTACAAGGAGTGGGTAGAACGATATTATTCAGATATTAAGATGATGCCAGCGATCTCAGATCAAGATATGAATGCTATGTTGGCTGAGGACTCTCGGGTGAGTGTCAAGTTTTTGCATATACAATTTTTAATTGTGTCTGTCAACATATTTCCACTCGCTACCATCAGAAGTCAGTAAATTCCATTGTGAATCAAGATTATTTTTTATAGAAGTAGACATTCCATACATGCGTCTACTTTAATAGTGAATTCGCAATATTGTGAGTAAGGAAGTACTACCATAAAGAAGAACAATTCCTCATTAACCAAGAGAAAAAACTCTGCTAAAATCACATACTGTCAGTATCTGGATTTTTTACTTTCCACACCACTCGTGAGGAAGCATTTTAAAAAAAAATTAAAATGGAATAGGTTTTTGGGATGCTTCATATGTACATCCAGGAAGGCCATGTCACTCATTTGCTTCGGTCTGTCTGTCTGTCGATCTATCTGTCCGCTAATCCTATGCCCGTCTATAACTTAGAAAGTACCGCTGGAAAGCAAGCAAAAACCGAATAAATAAAACACGCTCAAACTTTGTTTTTTGACGTCTCTACTGATTTTTTGAAATTTTTTCGAGGGGATTAAAAATTTGGAAAGGCGATCATACGAGGTGTGGGAAAGCGTGTATATTGTTTTAACGTTAGTATATTTATACAATATTAGATAACAGTCAGCGATTGTGATTGAAAAAAGTACTCCTAGTACAATACCCAATTCAGATGCTAACACATAACATATTTATATAAGTGATTTGACTAGTACATCGGTCCTAGCTCTTGGTAGTTTAAAGGTGGCGTAATCCCGCGAAGACAATGAAGAAATTAATCTGTGCCACACAATCTGAGGAGTCAATTATACGATTCAACAGTTTAAAAAGTAATAATAACTTTGAATTTCAAAATGCTCACAAAGCACCATATTGCTAACCAGTTGCTCAGGGTAGTCTCATCCACACTTGAAATAGAGAAATTTTACATTTTTTTTTAATCCTTTCAATATCGTTTATATGAGTTTGGTAATATGGATTCCGTATAACACTCCGATATTGAATTTTAGTCCCCACACATGTTAAATATAAAACTTTTAAGGCCCTTATGTTACAAAATTGTCTGCAGTCCTGTCATGGAAATCATAGGACTTGAAAGCTTCCGAGACTTTGTGAAATATGAGCAATAAAAGCCAATCTTTAACCGCATGACCAACATCACACCATCGATATTATAATTATGAAGGTTTTATAAGATATCTAACTACTTTGTACTCACTTATATTTGAATGCTACTCAAGTGCATCTGTAAATCTAAGCCATCCTAGATATCACTGATTAACGAAAATATCTTCAAATCATCTCCAAAACATAATTGTTGACATTCCAAACTCTCAGAAGGATCATTTATGGGTGATAAAAATAATAGTGGCCCCCAAGTTAGACCCCTGCGGAACACCAGATGGAGCTAAGAATGCTTCATATTTGAAGCCATTATATGCGTACTGTTGCGTCTTGTAGAACTTCGGATTTCACTGTTTTTTCACTTGAAACTTATAGACGGTAGTCTGATAAATTATTTTACATCATAAAAAGTGTGAATGAAGCACGCTTGTCATGAAATTTGTTCCCAAAACATTGTATTTTTAGCAGTTATTTCGTCCATTATTTCCACCACCATATGACGCTGACGTCTGTGGATATATCATATTGTCATATATGAGAGGCGCTTGCCAGCGGTGTTCCCGGATTGGGCTCCGTATTTAGGGAAAAATATGAAAAGTGGAAAATTCATATACATTTATATTAATGAAACACAAAAACAAACAACAGTACTAAAATTAAAAGTAATTCTTACTAAGTATAAAAGAAAAAATAACAAACAGCAGTAAAATAAAGAGCAATTCTAAGTGATTATAAAAAACAGTAAAATAAAAAGCAATTTGGATGGAATGAAATTGTTCTTCGTTTTACTACTGTTTTTACTTTTTGTTTTGTGTTGTCACTTAGAATTGCTATTTATTCAACATGGAATTGTTTTTTTTATTTTATTACTGTTTTTATTTTTTGTTTTTTATAATCACTTAGAATTGCTTTTTATTTTACTGCTGTTTGTTATTTTTTGATTTTTATAATTACATGGAATTATTTTTTGTTTTACTACTGTTTTTTATAATTATTTATAATTTATCATTTTTTAGCTTACTACTGTTATTTTTTTATTTATACTTATTAGGAATCGCCTTTTATTTTGCTACTGTTGTTTGTTTCAGTTTTTGTGATTCATTAATTAATATACACGTGTATATAAATTTTCAACTTTTCATATTTTTCCCTAAATGCGAAGCCCAATCCGACAACACTGCAGGCAAGCGCCTCTCTTATATGGCATATGCACAGACGTCTACGTCATATAGCAGATAGATGGCGGTGGAAATAATGATGGAAAGAACAGCTAAAAATACAATGTTTTGGGAAACATTTTTCATCAAGAGCGTGCTTCATCCACACTTTTTTTGTTTCTAAATAATCTATCAGACTACCCTCTAAAAGTTTTAAGAGAAAAAACAGTGAAATCGGAAGTTCTGCAAGACGCAACAGCACCCATTGTATGTAACAAATTGTTTTCGCTCTGATAAATATGAGTTGGAGTTTATAGTGCTAAGTGAAAGACTAAAGAATGCTAGTTTAAAACCCCATGATCAATTGAAGAATGGTAATTCAAAACCGTCTAAGTGCCACATTTATGTATTTCCGATTTTCAGTGATTTTAAGGTCTATGAACCATTGCCGATAGTATACCAAACAGTCAAGAATTTGCAGTTCTATTATATACGTATTTCAAATTCGCCTGCAGTCTATCTATCTGTCTATACCTGATATGTTTTTCTTTAATTTCTGAACAAACCATTTTTGGCACTTGGATGCTTTTGATTTACCACACTTCAATTTTGTCTAATGGAGTCATCTTCTTTGCAGCTCCACACGACCGAATTTAACACGAACTGCGCTCTGCACGAACTCTACACGTACGCAATGAAGTACAACGAGCAACTGACAGTTACCTTAGAGGAGGACGAATTCTCGCAAAAACAACGATTGGCCTACAAGTTGGAGCAGGTACACAACATAATGGCTGATAGTGGCCAGCCGTGATACTGGCCTGACCTGACGTGCCCACCCACTGCGACCGCGCCACCCCTATCACCTTTGCAACCTTCGGCACCTCAGGAACTTGCCTGCTGATAACACATTCGAAGCCAAACAATACATATCTCTGATAATCCAGTGCTACTAGAAGATGTATAGATGAGTCGGGGGAATATTCCAGGATCGATTTCTGTATCATGCGCGAGATAGTATCAGTCTAAATGCCAGACCGTACCGAGGTGTTACGAAATTTTTAGTCTTCCTACTTTATCGCGTATCTTTGCTCTAAAGTTTTTCCATCAAGGGGTCACAAAAAGCAGCGTACGCACCCTCCAAAAGCTCGAAGGCAACTGGCAAGTGTATCAGCAGTGTTGCCAGAGCCAAAATTGAAAATTCCGCTACTGGTATGGATAAACTCCGCAACCACGGGGATTATCGTCGGGGGGGAGGGGGGGTTGGCGCACTATCATAAAACAGGGGGGCATTTATTATACAGGTTGTGTCAAAAAAGGAAAACAAACACCAAACAGCGTCATAAAATATAACAGAAAACTGTAATAAAAAAATGACTATAAAAACCAATACAATATTACAAATAACTGTCAAACAACAGATCATTTACCACGCAGACTAAAGGCCATTTCTGTTTTGCATAAAAAAATTGTGAAGTTTTTGAGTTACTTAAACTTAGTTACTGTCTGTATCAGATTCTTCTGGTTGCATTTCCGGTCTCTCTATACTATATAAATAATTTTTGTATTTTTTTAAATGTTTTTCACCAAACTCGAAGTCTAAGCAGCAACATTTTTTTCTTTGTTCCAATTTGATAAGTATCGCGAACAAAGTTGAAGGTAAAATACGATTCCTTTTCTTTGTTTTGATTATCTCCATATATGAGAATGTCCACTCGACATCTGCATTACCATGTGGCAAATGTTAAAATTATTAGACATATACGTACTTTGGAAATACACTTCACAGGTTGTGTTCTTACCACCTACTACCATCTATACGCGTCTCCGTTGAATAAGAATTACCGACCGGTGGTTACCACGGTCGATTGGAAAGATTTAGATTTGGTTACTAACTGCACTCATTTTTTTTTCTGGTAAAAATATCCATCATGTGTACCTAAATTGCAAAATTCCCCTACTTTTAACAACAAATCCAATTCCGCCGCTACTCCACTACCACTAGCGGAATTCCGCTACTTCTGGCAACACTGTGTATCAGTCCAGTACGGCTGGAAAGCTGAAGGTTTCCCCCACCCTTCCCATCTGGTCGCGTTGCGCTACGTTGCCAAATTGCGTCACAAATAAATGAAGTTCATTACTTTCCGGACAATTTTGGAAAAAGAGGTGAACTGGAAGTGGTAGCGTTTGTAGTATAGACACAAAGCTCAAAAGTGGACAGTTTATGAGATATGGAGGTTCAGAATTTAGGAATACGGTTCTAGGGATGTTGAGGATGCAGACGCGGTTGCAGATTTTTCAACAAAAAACTTCGTATGGACGCACACAGGATTCCCTCAGTGGCTTGCTATAAATTTTTATGATATGCACCTCCTCTATATAATTTATCAACAGAACAAAATTGAAGCGTATCTTAACTCATCAAATATAAATCAAATCTGACTTTGAAGAATTATCATATCACGCAGTGACCAAAAAATCAAATCAAACTTCAATGCTGTTTAGCATGCAGCCAACACTTCCTCATATCTGTTAGAGAAAATAATAAAAACACCTTCCATGGTCTAGTTTTTTGAAGTTGAATCTTTGTCCTAAAAAAATACCGACTGTATGCCCATGCCAAATTGTGATCAAGAGAACCTAAACCATATTACAGATTCAGTACTTTTTCGTATGTTTTGTATGATATCATTTTGTTACCAGGATAGGAGAATTTACATTTTTTTAAAAATCGATCCATCGAGGACGCTGTACAAAAAACTGGTGGCATTCTTTCTATCAGTTGTAATTTTTTTATTGTTACCCCAAACAAATACTATTGTCTGTTTGGATACTATATCGGAACAATTTTTTACTGCGAATTTTTCATATTTTTAAATGCACATTTTTTGTAATTATATTGTTATTATACAAAATTCTTGAGGATCTGTTATCAATATCTTAAAATAATGTGAAGGTCTGTAATTTTATTATATGAAGAATCCTAATCAAAAATCGACTCATCTCAAGTATTGGAGAATTTGAAGCAAAACTCAGTAATTTTTGTGGCATTTAGACTTGCGATGACCAACACTTGATGCAAAAATTGATCTTTGTTGGAATGTCCCCGTCGGCAAAACTCTATATATTACACATTCGCAGGATTATGACTCTTTTCTCTGTGTGTTATGAATTGCTGTTGTGCAAATAACCTAATTGTTCAGTGTATATGCGGAGATGGTGTTCACTCAAGTGACTTTAAAGTGCCTCTGGTAGATTGAGTGACTTATACGACACGCACATTGGCGATTTTAGTGACTTTCCACATGAACATTGGAAAATGACCGGTTAAAAGTAATTTCTGAATACATCATGCAAGCGCCGTCACTGACTCGAATTGAAAGATCAGGTTTTGATCACCTTCTGTAACATTTGACGGCATTTGCATAACGAATATGTGCTCCTAAATCTCCCACTGTCTCTCGTTCATCGACGAAGACTAGTGATTTGACACATCTATTTTGTGTTGCATACTGGATGACGCGAGGCATCACCTTGATAAAATCATAGTTCGTTTACGTGTACAAAGGGTACTATAAAAGTTTGCGGTACACTCATTTTTTTTCTGGTAAAAATATCCATCATGTGTACCTAAATTGCAAAATTCCGCTACTTTTAACAAAAAATCCAATTCCGCCGCTACGCCGCTACCACTTGAAAATTCCGCTACTTCCGGCAACACTGTGAAATCAGTCCAGTACGGCTGGAAAGCTGAAGGTTTCCCCCACCCTTCCCAACTGGTCGCGCTGCGCTTCGTTGCCAAGTTGCGTCACAAATAAATGAAGTTCATTACTTTCCGGACAATTTTGAAAAAAGAGGTGAACTGGAATTGGTAGAGTTTGTCGAATAGACACAAAGCTCAATAGTGGACAGTTTATGAGATATGGAGGTTCAGAATGGTATCACCTTGATAAAATCATAGTTCGTTTACGTGTACAAGGTGTACAGTGTCCTCTATCTGTTGGTATGTCACTCTCCGGTCTTCGTCAAGCATTTTCCTCACAGCATTAATGTTTTCCTCAGTTACTGACATTCGCGGCCTTCTTTCACTGCCAGAGTGAAATTGCCCTTTTGACATTCTCTGTGCCACCTGAATATAGTCGTACGATGAATTCTGTAATGGATGCGTCATTTCTTCTAAGCACTGGTCTATGCTTAAACCACGCGTAAAGTTATACCGTACAGCTGCCCTTATCTCACTGGGTGACCACGATGCCATAGTCTGCACTCTATACTGTCAATAGGAATGAACAACTAAATCAACAGACGTGCTGCTGGCGGCTACTATGCACTCTTGGACATGTCTCCACATGCAGCCTCCTGCGTCCGTTTGTTAAGTTATATTGCCAAACTTTTATAGCACCCTTTTATATTTGTACCGATTTATAAGAACTACCACTTACTGAATAGGTGGATTTCTAACGCCCTCTGGAACATTTGACCTTACAAGAAACGGACCCGTAAAAAAGGTCATTTCATTCAATTTATTTTTTACTTCATCTCTCTTGGCAATTCATTTGATATCGATGAAATTAATATTTTCTTCGAGGTCATGGTGTGATGAAATGCATATATGTATAAAAAAGAAATGTGGTGGATCGTCTTCAAAATCGCCATTGTGAATGCCGTATTGCTATCTCCTTAATTGAGTGTATTATATTTTTATGATAACTTAGAATTATGCTTTGCTGTGCTGAAATTCCAGCGTTAGTCCATATTGTCGATATTCAGTGAAATATCCAGTCTAATAATGCTTTTTTGATATTTGTATAATGATCGTACCTTTATACAGTTTAATATTTTTGTATTTAGTTGAATGCAATCATGATGATTGTCTTCCGCAATGAAGGAAGCGCCAGGGTGTAGTATTTAATCGCGACCTTTCAATCAAATTGATGTTTTACCTACATATTATGCACAAGGTCGTAACACCATCACTGTTGGTTACAGGGGCTACTCTACTACTACAACTATCAATTTTTACAACTACACTGATTCTTGCATACTGAAAGTTGAGCTCAAGAACGATAAATTGATTACAGTCATTGACGTCTTGTTCAAATACACAAGGCATTTCAAATATAAGGTATTGGTAACTTGAGAAATTTCTGGAAAACAACACTAGTGACTAGTACTAGATAAACTTTTTGGCAAATCTTCGAGGAGAAAACAGGTTGAACAGCAATGCAATCCGTCTATTTTTCCCAGACTTTTCAAAAAGAAAACAGAAAATAACTTCAATTTTTACAGATATTCCCATTATTATTTTCGTATAGAAAAATGAAGAACAACATAACAGAAACTACGAATGACCTTTTAGGCCAAGTATTTCAAAGACGAATTAATTTTCTTCCTATTTTAATGTAACCTATAGCAGATTTAAAAATTTCAGGCTCTTCAATAGATTTTGGGATTGGGACTGTTCGTATCTACTATAAGACGTCAATGAATGTTTCAGTTAAAAAATTTCACAATGAAATATCAAGACCTATCCTCAAAACAGCTTCCTCTATTTAAAAGACAATTTCTTCTATATTCTATGTTGGAATTTTTATGTTTTTATATTTATATTTCATTTGAATGGCTCTAGAAACATCAAAATCCACTTTCTCACTACTCTATCTCTTTTATGAGCTCTACTTTTGAAAAGAAAAGCAAGCTGTGAAGCTCTTCATATCAATAATGGTGTGTCTTTTGTTGATGGCATTTGTGCATCTCGCTATTTTATTTTAGTTGTCTTACATTATTTTTTGCTTATTTCCGGTCTGGATTCACATAAGATCTACCTAAGGTTATATTTTTGGCTACAAAAAATGTTCACAGGAGTAGGTAGTGAATAGGTACTATTGGGAACAATGTTCTGTAAAAGTAAAAAAAATATGACAAACAGTAAAGTGGAAAATTTATTTTTATATCTTAGGAAATGTTTTCTTCAAATATTGTTTTAAGAAGTTAGTATGGAATAATGCAGGGTAGTTTGGCATGCTAATTCAATCCAATTAAAAAAATTAAATTGTTATATTCTCCGAAATTGATATTAGATGAAATTGCGAAATTAAAATTTATTTCAATATATATATTATTTATTCTACACTGATTTGACAATTGCTTTATTCAGGTTTTCATATTTGTGATCTGATCTCTAAAATTATCGCTTTTACATTCATTTCAAATTTAAGACTGAATACCTACAATAATGCATATTATCGAACTAAGTATCAAAAAGATATAAATGCCACTCCTTGCTATATTTTGAGAATGATGGTTGAACAAAATCAGTACCAAACGATGTAACGCTTCCCAGTTTTTTTTTGTATGAAAATTACTTCCCCATGTAATTTCAATTCTAAATTATAGTTTGTGGCGATGTCAAAGGTAGTTTTTGTGAATATCCCGACTGGAAAAGCAGTATAGAATATTTTTGATATATTTTCATTTCCCCTGAAATTGACATTGTTTAAATGTGGTTTGTGTACGTGTAATAAGGCTGTGTACATTTCTCTTGATTGTAAGCAAATCGGCAATAATTTGCCACAAAATAGCTATTTACGTCTATACTGTACGCCAAACTTAAAAAACACGCTTTTTCGCACTTGGTTTTTTGATATATCTATACAAGGTGTGATTAAAAGCTTTGGCTCCGATCTGTTTTTGGACAAACTTTGTATAGTTGAGATGTCTTGATTAAAAGATGAAAAAAGTGTTTTTTCTTTTTGGCTGTAGTGTTATCTATTTTGTATCCATTGTGTTTTGCTGGTTTCATGTGATACATCAAGTCATTGTAATAGGGACGTGGTTCTCTGTAATAAAGATTTTGCTTGAAAATGTTGCTGAAATTTTCTATTTATTTCTATAAATGTGAATGATTTTTATAAATGTATTAATGTATGTAGTCTTGTTGACTTGATATATCTCATTATTATGATTTTGTAATTTTTCTTTATGTGCAATTTAAAAGTCATGTTTTAGCTCGATACTTTTCGCTGAATGTTCCACTCTTTATATCTTATTTTAATATACTTTTTTAACTATTTAAAGATTTATATTTGCTATCCTAGTATCGTATACGTTAAATGCAAAGTCTGAGTAATGAAAAAGTTGCCATATCAGATGTTTATATCTCTAGAGATTAGATGCTGATTTCATTATACATTCCTCTTTAGTGATACAGGTGAAACATTCAGTACTTTTATTATAATTTAATAATCTGATTTTATATTTACTAAATCAAAACTAATTTTATTTCAAAGATAAGGTGTTTATAAATGTATGAAATTTATCACAATTTCACTTTGTATCTGTAAATGTACCAATGGACCATTCTTGTTTCTCTCTGAGTAATCACAGTCATCTCCCAATATTCAATATAGTCCAGTGGAATTAAAGTGGTATTTTAGCCTTTTGGATGCCAATCAAGGTATGTCTGACAAAAGGTGCAGTGGCATTTCCATCCTCAGTATGTTCAAGCAAATTCCACTGAACTAGAAACATGTAATGAGAGTAGCAATACTTCTGTGAAAAAAAGCTGGAAGGAAATGGAAAGCAGTGTCGTGGTATTACCACTCGCTATAATCTTTTACACAAAGTTTTAGCCGCGTGTAGATGTTTTTCATCGAATTGTTTTTATAGTTGTAATGGACCCATTTATAAATGTGCTTTCTTTTTCTTTCACATGGTAATTCTTTGTAATACGAGTTGTCACCGTCCTTTCATCAAATTTCGATTTTTGAAGTATAGCTCGCGAGGCCAGATGTAATTTAAAAAAGTCTATTTTGTCTTTGAATAGATAATTTTCTGAATTCGTACATAGCCTCCGACTATTTGCTTTCTCTAACAGCTGCGCTTGAGAGCCAGCTGTGACCATCAACCTATTAATATATTCTTTTTTTACGGATTTATCTTATTTGTAATTTTAGTTGTGTACATAAAATTTTATGCCAAAAAAGCTTCTGGACAATGCATAGGAAGATTTGTAAATAATAAATGTACGTATGTGTGGATGTCAGAATGACAGTCTATGTTTGTATGTGGTGTACGCATGATACATATTTATAGTAATGTGTACATTTTGATGCATCTACAATATTGTGAATGGTAATGTACTACTATATGTTATTATAAAAGACTGAATGGAGTTACTAAAATACTTAATAGAAAAAATCATCAATGAGATAGTTTTATTTCATATATATATCCCTTGAGACGCACCTTTATGCTAAATAGCCGACGGGGTAACTATCTCCAGTCCTGCACTCGAAGGTTTGTCCAGAAAACGGCTACATGTGCCCCAGAGTAGAGGTTGTCATGTTATTGAAATAATTTGTAAAGATGTTCTTAAACAAGACAAAAAAAATCATTTGAACAAATGAGGAATATATTTTTTATTCAGCTACTCTCCAACAGATGGCGCTGCATATCGGTAGCCACCACAAAGTCCACCTTTTTGAATGACTACCTTGGGCTGCCGAAATCCGTCCAGTAAGCCCTAATGCATGAGGGGGGGCGGAAGCTTTATTTTCCAATCAAAGCCAAATCAATACGTAATATTGAAATATAATAATCTAAACTAAACAAAATATGGGGATTTTTAACCCCCCTCACGGAAATTTAAGTTTCTTGATCTTTGAAGATGCGTTGCCATAAATGCCACCCAAACCCCGACCATCCGCCCCTAAAGGTTCTTTTTGACTAGTTAAATTTTGTGTGACCTGTGATAACACTTTCGAAAGAGGTGCCATCTATGGGATGGTAGCCCAACTAAACGAATATATTTTTTATTTAGCTACTTTCCAACAGATGGCGCTGCATATCGGTAGCCACCACAAAGTCCACCTTTTTGAATGACTACCTTGGACTGCCGAAATCCGTCCAGTAAGGCCCAATGCATGCAAGGGGGCAGGACGCTTTGTTTTCCAATCAAAGCCAAATCAATACGTAATATTGAAATATAATAATCTAAACCAAACAAAATAGGGGATTTTTAACCCCCCCCTCACGGAAATTTAAGTTTCTTGATCTTTGAAGATGCGTTGCTATAGAAACCACCCAAACCCCGACCAACCGCCCCTTAAAGGTTCATTTTTGACTAGTTAAATTTTGTGTGATCTGTGATAACACTTTAGAACCAAGCGCCATCTATGAGATGGTAGCCTAACTAAACGAATTGTATTTTTCTAGTTGAAAATGCACAGAATTAGCTTAAAATCATTTAAGAAAGGTATATGGATGAATATATAGTTTTATTCAGCTACTCTCCAAAAGATAGCGCTGTATCTCGGTAGCCACCACAAGGTCCACCATTTTGAATGACTACCTTGAGCTGCCGGAATCCGTTCAGTAAGCCAAAATGCATGCGAGGGGGCGGACGCTTTGTTTTTCTAACAAAGCCAAATCGACAATTTTGTGATCCCAATCCACAGTCGAGCATATGAAATAATTTAGAGGGGCCAGTGAAATCCGACTGTCGATTCGGTATTTCCTTTATTAAACTATAACAAATACAAACGGAATAAACAACTCAAGTTTTAACAAAACCTATGGAACAAGACTTCGCGTAATCTCTGGAGTTCATATATTATCAATCTCAGATTTTCCGAACAATGATATGAATAAGAATTCAAAAAAGGTCAGTTGGAGAATCAGAAAATGCGCGAATCGTTTCAAATTTAAGAAAAATCTTTGGAAACATTTCTTTATAGAAGAATACTGATCTGAACTTTGAGATTCAAATTTGTATATTGAAAAGATCATACTGTCGTGGAATGTAAGCATATAAGAAAATGTTCTTTAGATTTTTATAACGTACGCAACAATAAGTAAATCACAGTAACAAAACCTATGGAACCAGTTCACGCAATCTCTTGAGTTCATATACTATCAACCCCAAGATTTTCCCTACCCTGATATGAATAAGCGTTCAGTTGGAGAATCAGAAAATGCGTGAATCGTTTCCAGTTTAAGAAAAATCTTTGGGAACATTTCCGTTTCATCTTTATAGAAGAATACTGATCTGAACTCTGAGATTCAAATTTGTATATTGAAGAGATCATACTGTCATGGAATGTAAGCATATAAGAAAATGTTCCTTAAATTTTTATAACGTAAATCACAGTAACAAAACCTATGGAACCAGTTCACGCAATCTCTGGAGTTCATATATTATCAATCTCAGATTTCCCTAACAATGATATGAATAAGATTTAAAAAAGTTCAGTTGGAGAATCCGAAACTGCGTGAGTCGTTTCCAATTTAGGAAAAATCTTTGGGAACATTTCCGTTCCATCTTCATAGAAGAACACTGATCTCAACTCTGAGATTCAAATTTGTATATTGAAGAGATCATACGCATATAGGAAAATGTTCCTTAGATTTGTATAAGGTAGACAGTAATAAGAAAATCACAGTAACAAAACCTATGGAGCGGTTCACGCAATCTCTGGAGTTCATATATTATCGACCCCAAGATTTTACAAACCATAACATGAATAAGAATTCAAAAAAGTTCAGTTGGAGAATCAGAAAATGCGTGAATCGTTTCCAAATTAAAGATAAATCTTTGGGAACATTTCCGTTCCATCTTTATAGAAGATGGAATGTAAGCAAATAGGAAAATGTTCCTTAGATTTTTATAACGTAGGCAGCAATAAGAAAATCACAGTAACAAAACAGTAACACTCGGCAAACTGAACATGACTAGGATGAAGACCATAATAATATTATGTGAATACATCTTTAATATTCTGGAAGTGTCTAATGGCGAGGTCAACAGGAAGGTCGAATTTGTACCCTGATAATGTGTCCAAACTGCGTAGACTGTCCTGGAACCCTACGACAAAACATTCGGTAAGGACAGAATACATAGTCGTTGTTTCTTCACTTGAGGCTGCCTTATTTGCCTTGACAGTCTTGACATTTGGGAGTGGCAAGACGTTCTCGAAACATCTTTCTCAAAGAAAATGGTGGTCCAATAGCCTTATAAGCGACGGGCAACTCAACTACCTAGGCATCACCACGCGAAAAGCGTTTGATAGTTAAAAAAAAGTAAGTGGATTCAAAAAATTTATACGCATCTCTTATGAAGCCTTCAATAAAAAGCAAGGGCTTCCGGAAATATTGCTATGCCCCGGGATGTAAAGCACCGAATAGTCACGTTATCCTTTCACAACAATCTTGCTGCGCCCCTTAGATCATTTTCTACATTTTGAAAAGCTCCAAGTTCAGGTTTTGCTGGGTCTAAAAGTTCGATTAATCCATCACCACATTTTCATTCATTCACATTCTTTTCTAGTATTAGCATTCAACCTTCTCGATAGTGAAAATACAACGTAAATGCTGCGACTATATTTGTTTTGGTGTCAGGTTTCATCCGTTATCAGAAATGAAATTCTCTGCATATTCTCCGAGACGAATCCGCTGCAAATAATTCGCGATGTTTTGGGGCAGTCATTAATGTTACAAGAATGGGCAAAAGATTATTAAGTGATGAAACTTCACCTGAATTTCGCGTTTGTAAGGTGCTTTGTCCAAATAAAGTGTGATTACAATTTTTCAGGACGTCTTCCATCAACGTGAGTAATACACTTATAAATAATACTAACATCACTTTCATAACTAAAACTTATGTGACGTGCTAAAACGCTGCTTCCTCTCCTGTCCGCCAGTAACAATCAATAAATTAAAAATTCCACAATCAAATCAAGCGAAGGGTCGGGATTTATTTCGAGAGAAGGCCTACATGGCAAATGCACATTTTTTCAAAAAACTTCCCAAGCATCGCCGTCATCAGTTCATAAGAATTATCTTCAGCACAAGCTAAACCCTATCCTAGACCATGCTAATGATGCAGCATGCTCAAGTTGGACCCTCTAAGAAAAATGAAAGTTACGAACATGTATAACAGAGAAATTTGACGAAACAGGTCTGTCATAAAGGTACATAACATTCTATCCCTTTCAGAGGCAGCAGAGCTTCAGTCATGCAGGACGCGTACGAACACCGGTACGTCGGCCGTGGTTGTTGAAACCAGCAGACACAGGGAAGCTGTTCAAACACGTTTTTCTATCCTTATAAGTTTTTAGGGCAAATGTACGGGGCAACCTATGATGCGTGAAATATGTCTGATAGGTGCGTAAAATTATCGGGATTGGAAGTGTGTTAATATACTAACATTAAAAAATTGCGAAATCAGGAAGCCTCAAGTTCTGAAAGTAGTATATGCAACGCAATAAAGCGTGCTCTCAACGAAGCGTCCAGGAACCAGCTAATCCCAGATTCTTGTGCATCATAGGGGTTTGAAATATAAAAAACTGAAGTTTAACAAATTTTGTTTTACCTGTCTTTGCAACGTAACTCCAAGGCAGGTAATGTTCTCTAAGTAACGGGCAACATGTGAAGATTAATGCCAACCATGGAACCAACTTATTTGCACTAAAAAAAGAAAAAAATAGATATTAGAGAAAAATGTATAATTTTATAATGACATGATGAAACATGGAACGAAATGAAATAAAAAAAAATGTTATAGATGCGACACCCGACAAATACTAGAGGAATTCTAATGGAAAAATACTAAAAAAATGATGTCAAGTGGGTTGACTCTGCACATTCCACGCTGCGCCGTTATCGGTTCATAAAGGATCAGCACGAACTTGACCTTCAGAAAAAAGTCAAATCATATAGGTCCATTAGATTACTCCATACAATTTGTCCATATTCTTTCCTTGCACTGCCGTTAGTCCACCTGGCAACGTCGCCTCTCCCCGACACTTAACGCGGTCCAGCGTGGCATCGCGGCCACAGCATAGCAAACACTATGCTATGGCGCGGCAATAATACTTAATAGACGCGGCCGTTAGCTACGCGATCCGTCTGCTGAGAATATTTTTTAAAGTCTTAATATATCTCCCCACCCCCCTATACCCCCGCCTCTAATTACCTCTACCTAACTCCATTTTTTTACAAAAATGGCCAGGATCCTCTGAAACCTCAAAAACGAAGATTCGGCAGTTTTTACTTTTTCGTGGTTAGGCCTTTTTCTCCGCCGCCACTGGACCGATTTTCAAAAACTACAAAGCCCCAACGTCTAATTTATTTTACAAAAATGGCCAGGATCCTCTGAAACGTCAAAAACGAAGATTGGACAGTTTTTACTTTTTCG